CCCCCCCCCCTCCCCTTCCCGCCCCAGGGCACCTCTGCGGTAGAGCTTGAGCCCTGTGGGTGTGGTGCAGGGCACTGGGGTGGGTGCTGTTGGGGCGCGTCCACAGACTTCCCTCCCCTGTCGCTGCCACACCCCGTCTAGAGACCAAGAGGCCCAGGGGCTGTCCTTTCCGTGCTGTTCTGTGCTTTGCTGACTGTGGGTGGTCCTGCTTGTGTCGTGTCCCTCCAGCCTCCCTCCAGTCTTCCCCAAATCAATAAAGACAGACAGAGCAATGGGCAGTGGTGAGCTGGGGGGAGGGATGAGGGCTGGGAAGGAAACCAAGGAGGCAGGCCACCTCGCCCGTCACCACCCGAACTTCTGCTCCCCCCATCACAGCAGACAAGCTCCGGGTTGTCCGAGAACTTCCTGTCCCCAACTCCCCCACGTGCCGGCAAGAGGCAGCCGAGCCGGCCAGCTCTGCCACCCTTGAGGTTGGCCTGCGTGTGGCTCTGGGGCCCTGGGCCGGGCTCAGGGGCGAGTGGAGGCCCAGGTGCTGTAGCCAGGAGGGCAACCAGAGTTCCGGGCTGTCTTCACTCCTCTCCCCGGCCCCCCGCCCCCGCTCCATCTCCCTTCCTTCCCCTGCTTCCCGTGGCCGTGGCCGGACAGAGCATTCCCAGAGCACGCCTTGCACCGAAAGGCTCTGCAGCCCGTTTCTGAGGCTGGAGGAGGGGCCCCTCGGCCAGGAGAGGGCGCTGCTGGGGCCTCAACCCCTGTGCTGGGTCGTGGCTTTGGCACTGCTGGGCTCCAGGCCCTGGGGAACCCGGGCTGTGTGGGTCGTGGCTTCCGGTGTGAAGACGGTGGCTGGTCTTCTGGTCTGTGCAGCCCCTGCCCCTCACACCCCCATTCTGGATCGGGTAGGGCTCCAGAGCCCGGCCTTGCTGGGCCCCAGGCCTTTACTGGCTCCGCTCGGCCTTTGTCCCACGCGCATGAGGGGAAGGCTCCTAGGGCCTCCCCTCGGCCCCGGTCAGGGCAGAAGCAGCGCCCTCAGGGCTCTGGCTGAGCGGGCCACCCCTGTGTCCCACCGCCACCCCTGCCCACTGGCCCCTGCCAGCCTGCATCGCAGAGCCTGCTGGAGGAGACACCTCTCCACGTCGACCTTTGCGACCTGAAGGGAGATGGCGAGGCCCACAGCAGGGCTGGCCTGGGTCTCGGGGGGTGGGGCTGGAGCAGGGGCCGGGCTTCCGCCGAGGAGGGTAGCCACGCACAAGTCCCTCTCCGGAGTTCTCCTCGCAGCATCCTCCCACCCCCTTCCGTGCACAGCCGCGCAGGCCCCTGAGCCCGGGGCAAGTCCCGAGGGGTAGGCAGCTTCCCCCTCTGTCCCCACGGCCAATTCTAGGCCATCCTTTGCTCTAGGCTTTGGTGTCACACAATGAGGTCCCACCACGCCAGCTCCCCTTTCTCTGTCCATAGCCCAGGGGACCTCAGGCTGCCATAACCTTGGCCCGGTCTCTACAGCTTGGCCTCTTCACCTCCAACGACCTGTCCTGCCTCCCCTTAGCCCCCCACTTGGGGCCTTGTCATCTCCTGTCCTGCCACCTCAGACATCCCCTTCTCTGGCTGTCCCCCCCTCTTTTGGTTGTTCACGTTGGCCTCCCAGCACACTCACGTTTTCTCGCTTTGCCATCAAGATTGATTGGGCCTCTACTCTGTGCCAGGCACTGAGCCCGCTGGCCAAGGTGCCCACCGTCACGCAGGAGGTCCTGCAGTGGAGGGAGTGGGCTTACTCAGGCGGTGGGAATGATCCGCCCGGGGAAGGTAGCAGCTGGCTGCTCAGCGAGGCCTGATCAGGAGTGCCAGAGCCAGCCTTCCAGAAGGAACCACACTCCTTTGGAGACAGCCAGCTCTTCCAGCCCAGGCTGCAGCCACATCCTCGCTGCGGAGTCGGAGTCGGGACCCAGCTCCGGCCTCAGTGACACAGGGTGCAATTTGATCTTCCGCCAGCAGGAGGCGCCACAGTCACATTTTTCCACGTCCATCAGCCACCTGTTGATCCTTCAGCACCTGGGGCAGCTGCTCAAAACCATTTCTCCTCCACCCCCCGCCACCCAAAATCCTGCCCCAGGGACGTCCTAGCCTGGGGGAGAGGCCTACCCTGCCCATCTGGGAGCAGGGAGACGGGGGACCCCCAGGTCGGGCAGTGGCGTCACGGTTCATCCCTCTGAGCCCTTCTGGGGGGGGGCAGTTTGCGAGAAGAAAGCTTTGGGTGACCCAGGCCGTGGGAGCATTTTGGGCTCAGGGAAGAGCAGGTGCTCAGGTACTGAGGCTGAGCCGGAGGGACGGGTCAGACTGGAGCCCGGTGAGGTGAGAGCTGGACCTTAGTCTTTGAGCTGCAATGAGCCACTGGTGGGGTGGGAGCCTGAGAGTGCCCTTGTCTGGGCTGGGGAGGTGCTGAGCTGCTGTGAGTCTGGAACCGGGGCCAGAGGACTGGCCTTCCCAGGTGTCAGGGACCAGACTGGATTTGAGGGGGGAGCCCCTGTGGGCGTCACGAGAAGCTGTCTCCCTCATTCTGGGCCACACAGGGTGGGTCACACGCTCTGTCCTGGAGCGAATCTGTGGGTGTCAGAGGGGTTAGCTCAGTGGTGAGTCTTTTAAAAAATGTTTTGGCTGCGCCACCTGGCATGCAGAATCTTAGTTCCCAGACCACGGATTGAAACCCTGCCCCCTGCAGTGGAAGCGCGGAGTCTTAACCACTGCACTGCCAGGGAAGTCCCAGTGGTGAGTGTTTATTGAGCACTTACTGTGTGCCAGGCACCCGTATCAACTCCAACCTCGACTATGAGGTAGCGACTCTTATCATCATCATCCCCACTTTGGATACTGGGAGGCGGGGGCATAGAGGCCGCATAACTGAGCCAAGGCCACACAGCCTTGGGCTCTACCTCCTGCCGGTCTCTGTGTAAGTGAGGAGGGTTCGCTGGGAACATGAAGGTCGCGTGGGGACTTGGGGAGAAGGCAGGGGAGCTCTTCTCCACCCTTCTCTTGGTGAGCGCAAACTGGGCTGGGTGAGGGGCACCCTGGATTTGAGTTTCAGCTTTGCAGGTGGTTCTGTTGCCTTTAACACTCCCTGTGCCTCTAGCTCATTGAGTCAATTCCCTGTGAAATGGGAACCTGGCTGATGGGGCGAACCTCTCTGGGGTTCAGTGTGAGGGCCTGGGCTGACGGCAGGGGCACGTCTGGGGGCCATGTTGGAGGGCAAGGTGAGAGAGATGTGCTGATGGAGGGAGCTGATGAGGGACTGGAAAGATGGACGCTGGTCGTGGTGGACTGAGCAGGGGGGCTGTGAGGGAGTCTAGGAGAGAAGCAGGCCTATTCAGGGCCCATGGCAGCCACGTTCTCCGCCCAACCCCACCTCCGCCCAGGCACCCCGTCTCCATCCCTGTCTCTTCAGGTGGGCAAGACTCGAAGTACGGAGTGTTTGGGAAAAAACCGAATAACCCGATTTGGTTGATTGAGGGTTGTTGGGACAAGTGGTTAGAGATTGCCCAGAAAGGTGAACTTTCTCAAGACGGCACTGGGGAGCTACTGGAGGGCTGTAGGGAGGATGGTGGCAAGATGAGATGTTTGCTTTAAGACAGTTTCCAAGTATTTTTCTTTTTTTCTTTTTTTTTGCGGTGCGCGGGCCTCTCACTGTTGTGGCCTCTCCCGTGGCGGAGCACAGGCTCCGGACGCGCAGGCTCAGCGGCCATGGCTCACGGGCCCAGCCGCTCCGCGGCATGTGGGATCTTCCCGGACCGGGGCACGAACC